TTTTTTTTTTTTTTTGGGCTTATAAGCAGAGACCAAGTATATTACTACATTATCCTTATTTAATTTTAAAATTTCATAGTATGCCCTTATTTAATGTAATACCTTTTTTAGTCATTTTATAATAAAATGTACTTATAAGGCACATTTTACCAAATACGTTAATTACTTATTAGTCACTTATAAATACTTTAACCAAACACGTAATTGTTTAAAATTTCAAATACTTATAAGCTAAAATTAGCTTATAAACATTTGTTGCTTATAAACTAATTTTCATAAGCTCGGACAAATACCCCCATAGTTTGATGAATTCATGGAGTTAGCTTAATGGACAAAGAGGTTTGCTCCCTTCCTTGGGTTTTTGAATTCAAACCTTAGGGTCACCTGCTACAATAATATTGTGGGTTACGATCGAATTTGAATCTAAAGTCTTATCAAACCCTATAATCTTTAAAAAGGGAAAACGTGCGTTTGGTTTATTATTTCTATCCATATTTCCAATTTTATTCCCAAAATATTTGTTTGTTTAATTATTTAGGAAATACTATTATATTTTTTTAATTTTTTAGACCCCTTAAGTTTATTTATTTCATAAATACCCCCAGAAAAAAGTTTAAAAATTAACAAAAACACCCCCACCCACCCACCCATAGTTGCCAGATTCCGGCAACCACCGTTAGTAGTAGCCAGAATCTGTCACAATGACCTACAAACGACCGGAACTGGTCGACAATTCGTCGATCTGGCCATTGCAAAGAAATGATTGTCGTTGATCAACGACGGCCATTTCTTTGGCCATCACTGACAGCCAGATATGGCCTTTTTCGGTCGTTAACGGCTAGATCTGGCCATCGATCTGGCATTTTCCTGCCAGATTTGTGGATCTAGCTGAAAAGGGCTAGATCGATGCATGTCCGGCCAAATCCGACTGGTCTGCATCGTAACACCAGATTTCGACCAGATTCTGGCGGTGGTGGCCGGAATCTTGCACTATGGGTGGCGGGTGGGGTTATTTTTGTTATTTTATAAAATTTTTATATATTGGGGTGTTTAGTTAAATTAGCAAACCTAGGGGTTTTTTTTGTAAATTTTTAAATTTTATCTCATAATAATCACCCTATTCAATTAGCCAATACTATCTCCAAAATCCTATTCAAAATAATAAATCAAACGCACCCGTCTTTTAGCTATTTACATGCCCATGAGACCGATGAAACCCCAAGCCTTGTGGAAACAAATTATAGGCTTAACCATCCTATTAAACCCCCATAGATATGTTGTTTGTTAATATAAAGTCTCATAGGTTAGTTGTTCATTAAGTATTAACATGAAGAGATCTCAAAATTACGAAGACTTGACGAAGGAGATTAATCTTCTTGGTTAATGGTTAGCAACATTTGCAATTATAAACCTTTAGACACAACTATTTTTTATTTGTATTTTTGCTTCCCACAAATTGGTTATTCAAGTATACAATGGTAGACTTATAAAAAGTATAGGAGGTATTATGATTATTTAAGTTTCAAGAAGCCTGGGTTTATAGAAGTGGGACAATAAATGTATGCAACAACAAGAGCTTGGCAACGAAAGTGGGACAATAAATGTATGCAACAACAAGAGCTTGGCAACGAAGTCAATTCAATGCAATTCTGCATTTCTTTATTGAAAATATACAAGAAAAAGAACTGACAACTAAAAAATGTAATCACAATTCTTCACTAGTTTCAGTAACAATAATTATAAAAAGACCTTGGAGAAGTGGCTGAATGAAAATGGGAACCGGAACGCAGAAGAATTGGATCGTTATTTTGATAGACACCAGTGTGACACAAGCTCAAAAGTGAGTGAATTGGACAAGAAGTGGTTAATTTTTTTTTTTTTTTTTTTCACGCCAGCACAACCTTGGAGACTTACTGGAAGAGGGATTAAGCCAAAATCAATCTCTTAAAAAAAAATGAGCTTTTGCCTGAACTTAAGACCCTAAAACAAAGTGAAAAATGAATCATGATCAGTAGGGGATTTTCTGATTTACCAAAGCGAAATGAATGGGAAATGCTTATTGGACATACTAATTGTGCTTCCCGTCATGGAACTGAGCATTTTTTGAGGATTTGAAAGTCTCCAAGAATTCTTTACTCTTCTGAAACTCTTGCTTCCGCCTTGACTTATCCCAATTGTGTTCCTTGGCTAATATCTCAATGATGCGTGGCAATGCCCTGCCTGCTGCATCAGTGTCAAGGAATGCAAGCCGAGATCTTCTAGCAATGAAATCTACAGCAGATTCACAGTATTCATATCGGGCACAGTAAGCAACCTCAGCCTCTAAAAAAGGGTACCCATGGGCAAGCCGCTTTCCCAAACCTTCATTCTATACAGTTAAAAGATGGATTTATGTTAACCACCAAAAGAAAGAACTACATGGTCACATCAAAACACAATATACATGATATGCACCACCATATTTCGTACAATAATCTTATCACATGGAAAAGAAAATATTTCCAGGGAATCAAAGTATCCAATATGGTCAACTCCAGACAAACTATGATCACAGGTATAAAGTAGAACGCACACCATATACACTACCGAAAATGTAAAATATCCAAGCTTGTCTGTCAGACTTAGATGAGCTATATACCAATTGTTAAGGTTCAAGAACTGTGGTATTCATATTGATGCAAATGAGGATATCACTTACAACGGATATTTAAAAGTTATCTAGATTTTCAGCAGCACTTGAAACCAATAAATGTACATTCGAAACTTGTTTTACTTGGGGCACTCCAACATCCATAAATGATCTCAATTTCAATTCCTATCAATATTAGGGATTTAGGGTTAAGTTTGTGTATCTATTAGAGTTAAATTCATACAGAGCAAGACAAACCAACCTGAGCTATGGTAGCAACTTTTTCTGCCAATGTGCCATATGCATGAGACAGATGCTTTGCGGTAGCAGTGTCCATAACCCCTGGAACAACTTTACCACCATACGTCCTTTTCATGCGTACATATTGTTGAGCAAGAACAGTGAAATGTGAAGGTTCCCATCCGTCTCCACCAATAAGCCGCAGGTTATGCGTTAAGCATCCATTGCTTGGACTCAACTTTCCAGACTTTATAGCGGCATTAACTGCATCTTCTGCCATGCTGCAAATGGTTCTAGTAAGCACAAAACTCATGTGCAAAGAAAAAAAGAGAGAGGCAAGAAGGAATAAGAGGAGTAGAAAATTAGCTTGTGAAAATAATTTTGGCTAATAAAAGGTCACAAGGAAAGGGACATATCACTAGGGAAGAGATTACTACATAAGGTACCAATACTATTGAACATGCATCAGAGGTAGGCAACACCTCTACATCTGCATATTTGCACTAACCTTTGTATGGAAACCCTCCAATAATCTGTTAACAAACACTATCAGCTAGTTGATCAAACATTACCTTCGGTATGTTGTCCACTTTCCACCAGTAATTGTGACCAAACCAGGATAATCTTCACATACAACATGATCCCTGGAGATACTCTCAGTATTCTTTGCTGATGGATCCATTGCCAATGGTCGAATACCACTCCACGCAGAAAGAACATCTGTGCGTCGTACCTATTATTTTTCACCATTACTTAAGTATCCACAAGCAGACTGAGTGGAGAAAGAAAAAAGGAATGAGATAAATTGAGTCACTAGCATTAAAAGTACTTCAATTATTAAGAATTTAGACACCATATCTAGCAAAATGATAATCAACTGATGAACCACAGACGAAATAGTATGCACGAGTGTACCTATTTGATTCAGAAAGAAATTTCACATTAAGAATACTCTTAAAAAAAATCGCCAAATAAAACAATTGCACAAAATCAAGGGGTCTTATTTGCTAAAATTTCACACCTTAATATTAAGGTAATCACTTATGGCATCCAGTATAAACTGAATCTCATCTTCATGTGGTTCTGGAAGCAAAGTTATGCTAGTGTTAGAATCTGTCGTGCCAGCAACAGTTCTTCCCAGCCATGGCAGCATGAAAATCACACGTCCATCCTTGGTTTTAGGAACAATCAAACCCATTCCTTCAGGAGAATAGTAATCAGGTAGAATAATATGAACACCACTGCTTGGACAGATTATAGGTTGTACATTTTTGTCAGCCATTTTCCTTACAGCATCACAAAATGGCCCAGCCGCATTCACAACAACTTTTGCATAGGTATCAAATTCTTTGCCTGGTAACATATCATTTGCAGTGAGGGTCATGACACAATCAATTTACTAACACTTGTTACATAAAAACTTACTACACATCACTAGCATCAAATTGAAGCAACAAACTGATAAGCATTATTCAGTATCCATGTGTTTGATTTTATGAAGTAAAGTGACTTCAGCTAACTTTAATACGTGCACTTGTAAATCAAGAACTTCAAAATTTGCTCAAAATACAAAACCAAAAATTAATAGACTCCAACAGCTAAATGATTCTTTAATTTCAGAATCCTCTTATTCATAGATTAGAAATCTTTTACATTTTATTAATAGGTAAAAGAAAACAAAGACATAAAATTGAACCAGGAAAGACAAATATATACTGCGTCAAACAGGAAAGACTTTCAGGTGAACTAGCAAGGAATTGAATAAAAGTTTAAAAAAAAAAAAGAAAAAGAAAAAAAGGCAAATTGTAACTGATAAAAGTTTAGTTAATATAATTGTATAGAAAGGTTAAGCTTTTTGTACCTGATAATTTGTTTCGAATTCGAGCACCAATTATCCGTTCGCCAGCCTCTTCCTTAATTAGGGATACAACTTCTGCATGGTTAAGCACCACTGCACCAGCTAATGCAGCAGTGCATGCTAATCCAACATTAAGACGAGAGTCATTCATCTGCCCGTCATAGTAAACCACTGTACCCCTCAAGCTTCTATCTTTACCCTTCCTTGCAAGAGTGGGGAAGAGCTCAGCAGACTCTTGCGTAGAATAATATCTAGACAGATGTAACAGGCGCCGTCCTGCGACCAAATCGTACATTTTCAAGCCCATCCAGTAGTATACTACCTCAAACCAATCAAAACAGGGTGTCATGCAAGGCAAAGCATTGCAGAGATGTGGTGCATTCTCAATAACCTGTTTACGCTCCTCAAGTGCATGAAATACCAGCTTCAATTGCCCATAGTCAAGGTTAAAGACAGCTTTCTCTAAGTAGCGGACTCCTACAAAATAGTATCAAATAAATAACTAATTAATAAGAAAGAAACAAAACATAAGGTACAAGTCCTTTTGCATATATCATAAAATAGTTAAATACTAGCAATGTAAGTATTTATTGCAATGCACTTGCCAGCCAATTAAGACAAAAGACATTCTTGAAGCAGAAAAAGAAGATATATATATTTCAGTGCCAAAAGACTATTTCTGAATTTCTAAGTCAAATTAGAATACCATATAACAACTCTACTCTCAACATATAGGCAAGGCAAATCACTGTATCCATATAAATGAAAAGTTACCAGTAAGACTTTTTACTATAAAGACCCACAAACATAAACCAGACCACGGAAAATCAAATAAGAAGAGATATAGCTTGTGTCAAAAGTTGGTGAGTTCCAAATGTTACCCATTTCTGTAAATTCAAATGCAAAAGTCCGGCACCTCACAGTTATACCACCTCATCCATAAATCAATCCCATAAAATCATACTGTATAAGCATTTATTTTCTGTTTCATCCATGACAATCAGTACCAAGATTGGTAATTAATTTTAATATATATATGTGTGTGTGTGTGTGTTTAAGGAACAACGGCATAGTCACAAAGAACCCAAAATCATACTGCAGCCTTCAAAATATATCCCTCGAAACAACCAAGCCCATCCAGTTAGTTCTCATGCACATTTCTTTTTCCCAGAAAAGAAATAATCAAAAGTTCTATTAAAATTCAAAAAGTATTTTTACAAGCAAAAAGGGGCCATATTTGTTACTGGCAGGTTAACATTACTGGGCTAGTTAACAGAACTAATATAATATTGAATGCTACAATGAAGGTATACGCTATTGTTGCTACTGTTACTGCAGTTGTTTCCGGTTAGCTATCCTCGAAAAGTGTCATTACTTTCAGAAGTAACAAAACGTTGAACAAGAAAAGTCTAAAAGATAAACAAGAAAAGACTAACCAAACGGTGCCTAAATATAAAGAAGCCATTCATTCCAAAATTCCAAAGCCATCACTAAATTTCTATACACAAAAAACATTCACAATTCATCAATACAACAATAACACAAATATGGTTGTATATCCAATCACATACCTCCGTGAATCAGCTTCGTCGATCGTGAAGACGTACCGGACGAGAAATCCTCTCTTTCAACGAGTCCAACGCGAAGGCCTCGCGTGGCAGCGTCAAGAGCCACGCCGGAGCCCGTGGCGCCACCTCCGATCACGAGAAGGTCAAGCGGATTACCAGAGTGAGCGCCGATCAAAGAAGACTCCTGAACGGCTCTGGACGGAACCACGCCGTTTGAGTCGTTTATCTGACGCTTGATGGCGTCGAGCGAGAGAGAGCTTCCGCGGTCGTTTCCGGAGAGCGACGGAGCGCTCAGTAGAATTGCGGTGCCTCCGGCTGCGGCGGCAATTGCGGCGCCGAGACGGCGGATGCGAGTGGCGGACATGGAAACGATGAGGATGATGCGTGTATGAGGAGCTGGCAGTAAGTGGGACAAAGAAGAAGATGATCTGAGTTAAGAGAAGAGTAAAATGAATGCGTTGGGAATCGTTCACGGGAAAATTTTATTAATTTACTGAAATGCCACTGTGCTGGAAGAAGTTGCACTGTACCCCCTTTTTTATATTTTTCCTTTAAATCTAACCTCGGCCGTATAAAGATACAAATAAAAATGAGTTTTCCTTTCTTTTTTCTTTTTTTTTTAAATTATATTAAATATCTTTATTTTTTGTGAGTTGAAAAATAACTTATATGTAAAAGTTTTCCCAAAAACAATTCTATTTTAAAATTTTGGTCTCAATTAGTACAAATTACTCTTTGTTAACTAAAAATATATAATAATAATAATACTTATAGATTTTCAATATAAATAAGTTTTTATTCGTGTCGATCACTCAATATCTTTAGTTAAAAAAATCTATTTTAGTTTAATAAATGCTAAAATCTTGGAATAAGTTATTATATATAGAGAGAGAGGGAAGCTATTTTTAAGTAGAGTCCTAAAAAATGAATTATTTATTTTAATTATTTTTCTTTTTAAATATAAACTTCAAGGAGGTTCTGTTTGAACTGTTTAGTAGGTTTTTGGTAAAAAGGGAAAGTATAAGGAGTTTTCAGTAAAATAAAATTATGTGTGGTTTTTGGTAATTTGCGTGTGTCTTGAAAATTAAAAGGTGGCGTCCCACCACGTCTACACGTCTCAAAGCATAAAGGTACATGGCTCGTGAGCGTGACTCACCTTAATCGGTCAATCCGTGATGTATGAAATATGAATATTCCATCACAAGTTCACAACCCTTTAATCTAGTCCTATTATTTTCGGTCATATAAATGAAGTCAAATGGCAAGCAGGGGCGAATTTGATGAATGACGGGTGGGAACCACGGCCCCACTCAATTTTTTAAAAATTTCAGATTTTCTATTTATATTTATTTAAATTTTATCCTTATAAATCTTTGAGATTTTGAGAATGGAGTAGCCGGCCCCCATAGTAAGTTTGGATTTTGTTTTTATAAAACCTCGTTTTTAATTCTAATATATTTATTACATATTCTTTGTGATTTTTATTTTTATGCAAGGGATCTATTAGTTTTTAAAAATTTTATTAGGAGTGAAAATGAAAGGAATAAGAGTTGTTGGGTTTCCATGTAATGGTTTAAATCCTGAACAAATGGGTGAAGCATGTAATCTATTTAGGGGTGAAAATCAAGTCGAGCCACTCAAACTATACTTGATGTTGGCTTGAACTCGACTCCGCATTAGTTGAGTCGAGTTCGAGTAGTTAATCGAGTAAAATTTGACTCAATATATTCGCGAGTCTTTCCAAGCTCGATGGTTAAGTTGATAGTTTTTAAAGTAATAGGGGTCATATGTTCAAAAGTTATAAAATTTGTAAATCCACCCCTGTTAGATGAGCTTGAAATCGAGTTCGAATAAAACTCGACTAAAACTCGAAAAAAGCTCGATTATATGAACTTGAATTCGAACTCGATTTCCAATTTCAAGTACCAAGTTCGAGTTTGAACTTGATTTCTCAAGTTCGATCAAGCTTGAACTCGAACTCGAACTCGATACTATAGAGATCGAGTTGAGTTTGATTTACCAAATACTCGACTTGATTCAATTTCACCCCTAAATCTATTAGATGTAATCTATTTCTTTGATTTTGCATTTAGCTTGCATATGATGAAAAGTATATTGACAATTACTAATGAGTTGTTACAAGCATTGCAGATAAAAGATCAAGACATTGTAAATGTTATGGCCTTAGTCAAAGTCTCCAAAGCAACGGTTACAATTGTTGAGAGATGAAGGATGAAAATCTTTGTTGAGTGAAATTTCTTCATTTTGCCAAAAACGTGATATTGCCATTTTGAATATGGATGATATGTTTGCAACTCGAAGGCGGCCATGATGAAGAGTTGAGCACATGAAAAATTTGCATCACTATCGAGTTGAATTGTTTTATACAGTAATAGATATGCAACTTCAAGAACTTAACACTCGTTTCACTAAGGTTAATACTGAGCTGCTTCTTTGTATGACATGTTTATATCCAAGTATTTCATTCTCTGCTTTTGACAAGCATAAGTTGATCCGTTTTGCCCAGTTTTATCCAACTGATTTTTCTGCACTTGAGTTGATGGTACTTGAGAACCATACTAGGACTTATGTTATTGACATGCACTCTTGTGATGAATTTTGCTGAGTTAGAAGGAATTGGTGATTTGGCTAAGATTTTAGTTCAGTTTAAAAAAGACATTTTGTATCCGTTGATGTATTGTGAAACTTGCATTGGTTTTACTAGTTGCGACTGTGATCGTTGAAATGACTTTTTCTGCAATGAATCTTGTGAAAAGTTGGTTACACAATCGAATGAGAAATCAATGGATGAATGATTGCTTGGTCACCTATATTGAGAAAGATGTATTTGATACAGTTGATGATGAGATAATTATCCAACATTTTTAGAACATGAAAACTCGTCGAGGACAATTATAGAAAAATTGTTTTAATTTTACAAAAATTATGTTTTTTGAAGATATTTATTTGTATTTTGTAATTTTTTGTTGAAGCTCATCATAATGGGAAAAAAAAAATTATGAATATGATTGGTTTTAATTTATTTATTTATTTATTTTTTGTTTATTTTTTGCCCCCATCGAGTGAAATTCCTGGATCCGCCACTGATGGCAAGTCTCCGACGGCTATAGACTTCATTTTCTTAATCACTTCGATCCCCAAAATTGGTGCATCACTTAAATTCCAAAATTATATTTTAAAAATATACTTTGGAAATTTTTCTTTATCTTATTCTTATTGTAGACTCAATATATTAACATCTAAGGTTTAATAATAAATCATCCATTGAAAATTTTGAAATAATAAAAGTCTCGTATTATTATGTTTATCTTAAAATAAATTATGGAAGAGTAATTTAGTCAAATGTTTATTAACTTATAATAGTGTAATTTGTTAAGAGATTTTTGTTATTAATATTACTACTTTCCTCATAAACTATCTTAAATGCGGTGTCATCATATATGACATCAACATATAAATAAAGTGTTGATGCATTGAATTAGTGGTGAGAGGTTCTGGGTACCTAACATTTTTCTGAAACATATGTTTTGGTTCTAGTTACGATTCCAATTCCATTTTGGGTACCTGGATTAATTTTAATTATCTTCTACTTTTTAAAAAATGACAAATACACCCAAAAAATTACAAATATGCCCCCAATAGTTTACAAAAATTATAATTTAGTCTCGAGAACCCGAACCCCGGTTCTGGTTCCCGATTCAAGCACTACACCGAAACCGGACCCAAGAATTCTCGGTTCCAATTTTCTAAAGCCGGAGCCGAACCCTAATGAGACCAGTTTTGGTTCCTACCCAGAACCAACGAGTGGATACCCGCTGGTTCTGGTTTTACCCTTTACCCATGCTCACCCCTACATTGAATGATATGCAATGCCCATACACGATGACATCTCATTTGAGATTAATTCACATGTAAATAAAGTAATAATACATTAAATGATATGATAACACCTCATTTGGGATGAGTAACATTATTTAAGAAACTTAAAAGTAAATTTTGTTATTTCATCGAATATTGATGTCTTTTAACTCTAGTTTAGCTTAATTTTAGATAAATATGAAAGATTTCATTATTTTACTGGTTAAACCTAACAAGTATAAGAATTTCAGTAAAAATAATGGATAAAACCTCTATAAAGTTAACAAAATTTTCACGATAAAGTTTCCAAATAGTTTTCTAAATCAGTAATATTATACATATACAAAGTTAGCCCCTAAAGTGGCTGATTATGTATTAGTTATTTTTCTGTAATTAATGTGGCATTATACATAAATAGTCACATAATTGGAATTCTTTGTTTGAATCCGAACTTTGTATATAATATTATTCTTTTGTTTGAATCTGTTGTGTGTGGTTTTTCCGCCAAGCTCAGGCCAACGCGAGGATATAGCTCAGCCTAGAATGACCTCGCCAACTATGATTGATCGACCTAGCATAAGCTCGTTGAGCCGTAGCTCAACCCAGCACAAGCTAGTCACGGACAATCTCAAGAATTAATCAATCAATCACCAGATTACTTCAGATCCCAGATATCGCGGGAATGACTGGATCAATAGTTATCGTTGCGCAATCATAGTGCTTAATCGCAAGGATATCAGAATTGTGATTCAAATCATTTGTAATCCCTTTAATTTTGCTCTTTCCTTTATGTAAATCTTATATATATACCTCCTAAAATGATGAGGAGGGGGATACGAATTCTAGATTACAACTATATTGTAGGCTCTCACAGCATATACACAAAACACAGTGGATGTAGGCAGCTAACTTCACCGAACCACTTTAAAAGTTCTCTTTGTCATTTATTTTCTAGCATTATCATTCACTCATCACTGATTACCCGTAATTATGCCCACATTAGTTCCGATCTCGAAAAGGTCGATCGGATCTCACTAGTTGGTGCAGATTTCTGTATCAACATTTTGGTGCTAGAAGGAGGGCCCTCTGCCACTATTTCAAAAATCCCGGCAAACGTTCACTGCGATTTACCTATATCAGGACCAAAATGGTGTTCACCAGATCAAGAACTACCATCGAAAATCACAAGAACATGGAAATCGCCCACCAGGAGGTGCAATAGGAGAACGTTGGACACTGACCACAGGTGCTGCCGGCTCAGCACGCCGAAAACAATTAGGGGGCAGGGACATCAAATCCTGAGAACGGCCAACTGATGGAGATGATCAGAATAATGGTTGCACAGGCGGTGCAACAGAATATGGCTGAGCTGAAGAACCAACAACCAGTCACCCAAAACCCCGACCAGTCGCGCTTCACCAATGTTACCCCCAATAGGTATGAATTCTGCAAGTCGACAGTCCGTTTCGTCACTGCTAGGGGGTGATCAACGCCGCCAACCTCGTAGACAGCTTCTCACGCATGAGCTAAAGTCCCGCGGGCAAACAAACCCCGAGAGGCGGCTAGGGAAGCAGCCGTTGA